GTACATTGAATCTGGTCTGACTTCGTAGACCCGTGGCCACCATCACGATGGGGTGATGTCACTGACCATAAAACACTGCGCTGTTGAATTCAGTTTGGGAGCAAGTAGCTTTGTGAGTGACAGTGGGATGCAAAGTGAAATCAACAGCTGTATGGTAGCAGCAGTATGCATGGTGCAATGCCACCTTCAAGCTCAGTTCTCAACTTATCGGTCAGCATTCAAATCTTTGCTTACTGTCAAGACCAAAAGGAGGAGACTGGTTACAGGAATGCGGAATTAGTTTCTTTTGAAAACTGTTCAACCTTGAAGACATTTACAAAGAGTTTGGCAGAGAGCCACTGAAAGGCCTCCATATTATCTCCCTGTGCATTGTAGACCCAGAACCTACCACTGGATCTATATGTCCCATCAGGACAGGGAACGCCTGAGGATTCTCCAAGAAGAGACAGAGGGTTTGACTTGATGTGATCATCATCCAGACCTCATTATGACAGACTGACAGATTCTGGTCTGATTCCTCACAAGAATGCATGAACATTTCTAATCATATAAAAAGTACTGCAGGGTTCTTCCATATGGCATGAAAATGGACAGTGAAATCCCACTCCATCAAAATAACAAGTCTCAAAATTTCTATACTTCCATTCAACAACTCTACATCAGTGCTGTTAAGATGCATTCTTGCATTAGAATCAGCACACATGCATAAGGTTAGAGCATGCTAGAACAGCAAAGACAGCGGCGTGGGAGCTCAAGTGATTGGCAGCGCAAACAGCCACTGTGTCTGGTTAACAAGGCCAAAGGACGCACCTTGGGTTTGGCTTGTTCGGTGGCAGGAGCAACACCCTCTTTGCTGTGCTCACTCCTTTGCTTGGCATCTGGGTGAGTGGCCATCCCTTCTGCTGACATCATCATGGGGCCTGAAAGATAAACATATCCAATATAAGTATTTCTACCTCAGTCAAATTGATTTCTGACAGGTTTTAAGGATCTGTGGTCCGACCTGAGGGTGGGGTGTTGTAGGGGGGACCCTGTGGCGTCATCCTCCCATTGTTGCTGCCTGCTTGCTGGCTGTAAGGACCTCCAGGGCCCATTCCTCCCATCGGTGCCATACCCGGGTAGCTGCCCTGCCTGGACACCACAAAAGAATAGGATTTTAACATTATTATTAACGTGAGATGTCACTGAATCTGTGAGGTGGCAGCTCACATGCAGAAGGTTAGGCTGCAGAAAAACATGAAGACTAAAGCATTTGTCTCGGGGACCCATGGAGTTAGTGGAGACACAGACACAGCTGAAAAGTGGCAGAGACAAAGAAGGAAAGACAAGCTGGTCTCAGGCTGATGGAAAGAGCTCAGTGTCATGCCAGTGGCTGGCTAGACAGTTCCAAAACACTGAGTCCTCTGGACCCTTTTGTTTACTTGCATTTTATGATTTGGTTACATAAAGTTTTGCCTCATTTTGTGTTGTGAAGCTTGATTTATGATTAGTCACTTCTGATAAATGTCTTTCAGCAAAAATGATGTGGTTTGATCAGATATGAGGTGTTGTTCAATGTATAAAGTGATGGATATTCTCCAGAACGAACATGGACACAGTCCTGTTGATGCTCTTCACTCAATAAGCAAGTCGTTCCTTTGTGTCAGTCACAAAAATAAGATTTCACGATGAGTGGTGTCTCAAGAGGCACATGTTTAGAGCATCAAGCTTAAGCAACTGTTTTCCTGATGAAGATGTAGCAGCAGCCTCTCTGAAGCCAAGCAGGACCAGTGAGAGGACAGGAAGTGGTCTGGTTAGTCAACATCCCAGAGGCTGTGTGTGCAGCAGAGCCTGACACATACTCATCACACAGCTCTATCAGCTTTTAATTAATCACTGATATTGTTTTTATATTGTGAGAACTGATCAATCATGTGTAATGCTTATTAATAATCAGGACTTTCTCAAGAGCAGAATGAAAGAAAGACAAGAGACTGGTTGACAGTTGTTCTGCTCTTTAGTTCAGGTTTTAGACTAACCTGAAAGATAGGAGTGTAATTCTGTTGCCTGTCCCTGGTGTAATGAAAACATTCTGCACCCTGACCTCAAACCCAAGGTACTTCTGAAATGTTCCAGTAAAATTCTCCAAATGCATTTTAGACAACATTAAATACTAGAGATTCTAATCTAATCTGGTCTCACTTCAGGCTTTGTTGAAATGTTATGATAGGCTGTGTTCCTGTTTCTGTCAGGCTCTGGCACCAAACCTACCCATAATGCTCAGGGGGGGTCTGCAGGGTGGGGTGGGGCTGAGCATTGGCGCTCTGCTGGGAGTAGTGAGGAGGAAGGTGAGGAAGAGGAGGGTGGTGGTGAGGAGGGTGAAGGGTGGGAGACAGGGCAGGTCGACCCCCGGGCCAGGACTGGTTTTGGAAGACGAGCGATCGAGTGAAGGGTGGCCTGGAAGGATGGAGGCATGGCGGAGGTTGAGATGGAACAAGTCCACTTCCAGCAGTTTGATTTTCAAAGGTATCAACCTCAAACCTCTGTCATCAACTAATGATGATGAGGTTTTCTTTCAGTCCAGGCTGAATGGTAACAAATGTTTCATAAGGAAGAAAAAACACTCAATAGGTTCGTTGGATGTTAAGGATCCACAGTGATTAATAGTAAACAGAAGTTGTTTACACTCAGTCCTCACAGGGAGGTTTTGAGTATGTTCCTGGATTTTTTTGGTTCTGCAGACTTTTCCAGAAGTCTCCATGCTACGTAACCTGGCCTTGTAACAACTCACCTGCCCTGAGCAGCGGACGCAATGGTGGATGAGGAGCTGGCACTTGGTCCAGCGCTGGGGCCAGCCTCAGGTGGTTTGCGGCTGGCATTGGGCCCCGGAGGTCCCATGCCCTGCCCAGCAGACTGTGGCATGCTGGGGGAGGTGGGGCCCATGGCACCGCCTCCAGTGGGGTAAGGGCGTCCCCCAGCACCGGGACCACGGCCTGCCGGTGTGGAGGGGCCCTGACCATGCATGGGACTGCTGGCATTCAACCCCAGACTGTTAGCTAAGCCAGGGCCTGGGCCAGGGCCACTGTAGTTGGCACTGGGCACCCCACCATAGCTGGGGGGCCGAGGGTAGTTACCTAGAGGGGACAGGGGAAGAAAATTTGTAACAACTATTTTTAAGTTTCACTTTTGTTACTTCTATAAAAAAAAATGCTTTTCCCTGTAGGTTACAGCAGGTCTCACCTGGGGGCCCGTACTGGCCAAATGAGCTACCCTGCTGGTAGGAGCCATGATGCACAGGCCCCCCCGTTGCTTGGTGAGGGGACATGGGTGGTGCTGACTGCTGGGGGCCAAACTGAGGCCCCGGAGTGCTACGCTGTATGGAGGGAGGGAAACCTGGGGAAAGACACAGATAAAGAAGGAGGTAAGACATGGAGGGATCAAGAGGAAAACTTAAGTGGAGGAGTCAAGAAAACCCAAAATCTGGAGTAACACTACTGGTCACTTGAGCTGCTTAAGATTCTGATCGGTTCCAAATTCATCCTGCAGCCTGACACTGAGCCCCGACATGTACCAGAGTCATAAAGACCAGGAGAACCAGGAGTCCTGCAGCAGAGGGTCTGGCCCCACTGAGCCCTGATCTCAGCATCATGTTATCAGTCTGGGATCACATGAAGAGGCTGGTGATCAATATTCTTATTATAGTCAACAAATCCCATGTGTAGACCCAAACCAACAGTGTGTTAGTTTGTCTCTAAAAAACTCAACTAAAAACCTGTTGGTTCCTATTGATGATGCAAAATCTTTAAAAACACCTCAAAATATTTATTAATTCATTAAAAAACTTCAGTAATTTCTTGAAAAAGCTGCTCACTGTTAGTCAAACTGGAGAAACTAGTGCATTGGTCGAGGACTATTTTCAGGGGCGGAAACCATATTAGGTCTCTAGTGAGTATTAGTGGCGGTAGGACGATGTGTGGTGTGGGTGTGAGTCAAAACAAACTCCAGTGTGTGTTCATAGTGATGAGGGAAAATGTCAGCCAGTGCAGCAGTGTGGTGTCACTTCTTAACGGGAGACATTCAGTGAGGGTTTTGTTTTTTTATGTGATTTGCTAACACTCAAAATATAAAATATCAACAAAGTTACCCTTAAAACTGAGGTTTAAGGGAGCACAGAGCACAGTTCTGCCTTCAGTAAATGGATGTGAAAACTAAGTCTGCCCATGCTCATTCAGCACAGTGAACTTGTTCCTGAGTGACTTTACATGCTGCATTTTGGAGGCTGAGCTGCACCAAGACACCTCTAGTTTCTTCATCAGAGATACAGTAAAAAGTAACAGAGAGCAAATGAACATTCAGTCAACAACACTGTAGTAATGAGTCTTTGGAAAACACACACACATAACAGGTGTTACCTCTGTCCTGCGCCATGGCAGACTGGGAGGCATGAGGACCACCATCTGATCCAGGACCAGGAACCTGAGGGGTCAGCTGAGGCCCTGAAACAGAAAGAGGGTGTCAGTAAACCCTGTTGGATCCAACTGTGCACATTTAGCAAGAGGGTCCGACTGCAGACCTCACACCTGAGCACCCCATGTCTGTGAGCCTTGTGAGATGCAGGTGTGAAAACACTGTAGACTAGTTTCAACTGTTGATAACAAGCTCCAGGAATCTGGACAGACAACAAGTCACATTATCGCCGTCCTACCTGGTCCACTGGTGGTGGGGGACAGTGGTCCAGACCGTGACTGGCTGCTGGACCCAGCAGGAGATGGTGAGGGGGAGGGGGAAGGTCCGCTGCGAACTGGCGGGGGGAGTCGAGGTGAGACATGTGGGGAGAAAGGAGAACGGGCCGGGGTCCCCTGGTCGCCCTGAATGCTGCCGGAGACCGACGCCCCCGAACTCACCGCCGCCTCGGTGCCCATGGGCAAATCATCGATGGAGCCGGATAAATCCTGGAAGACAGAGCGGAGACGGTGGTCAAGACGGTCAGACAACATACAGCAGCAAGAAGGGATCACAGACCCCGGAAGGATTTTAAATATTTCCTAAATATGATCAGATCTTTAAGGGGCATTATGAACAAATCTATTTTAACTAATAACACACAAACCACTGTATTGATCATGTCCTAGCTGAATGCATCACTCAGACTTAGCATTGGACAGATCAGAGAACTAAAGATGTTGACAAGGAAAGTGCTTCAAAGTGCAGCAGAGGACACTGCTCTGGGTCAATCAGAAACCAAAGTTTCAGACCTGGTTCTTATGGAGTAAAACAAATAAAAAATTGCAATAATGGTTCTATTTCATATTTACTGGGTTACAGAATGACGTTTTAAATTCAAATTAGCTGCAACAACCAGTCAATTAATTTGACCAACAGAAAATTAAAAAGGCAACTATACTGATAATTGACTCATTGTTTCAGCAAAGTAAAAATGCAGATTGGTCTATAGCTCTAGCTGCTCAGTCGCGGGGACACTGCTTTTCTTTGTCATATGTAACAGCAGATGAAATATATTTAGCTTTTGGACAAAATGAGTAAAATGAAGACATCACCATGGGAAGAAAGTTGTGAATGCAAAAACCTTTATAAGATGAAAGATTAATAGTGAAAATAATCAGCAGAATAATCAAGAACTGCAGCCCTGAAGTCAAAGAGTTTAGTTTAGTTTGATGTGGTGCCGGTCATTTTTATTTTCAGTGGGTTTCTGATCAGTAATGAGATGCACAGCTGCTGCTCAGTGCAAGACGTCAACATCGCCACGATCACTGAACACCTCATTCAGCGGCTCCTAAATGAGCTGACAAGGTGGAAACATGTCAGCTGGAGGACATCAACAATCCAACCAAAACCAACAGAACCCAGTGGAAACTCTGCTCTGATTCTGACTGCGTCAGACTGAAACTCAAAGAGCGGTCAACATCCACAGGGTGATTCACAGAAACACAGCAGCAGCTCACAGAGACACAAAGGTTTTAAAGTCTGAGGCCAGTGATTCTGTATGCTTGTGTTACTGTGCACAAACCCTGTCCAGAGACCAGCAGCACCAGTGAATGTGGTGTCCTCACTGTAATGTGGGTCCAGACCCTGGTCCGCTCACCAGGCTGTGCCGTAGACCTCCGTAGGCCATTTGTAAACACACAGTGTCCATGTCCCTCTGCTCTGCCGAGCAGCGAGTGGCTGAAGCTGGATTCTCTCGTGCTCCTGTTCACTGACTTTAGTTTGATAAGTTGCATTGCAGGTTTAGTTCTTTAGCTATAATCTGGAGGAGGACTCAGATGTTTGACTGCCAACATACAGCAGAAGACACTAATGCTAAATGTTTCCTCCTTTGTCTCTGTTTCTTGTGTCTTTGTGCCCAGTTTTCAACAGCAACAATCTGTTACTAAATGTTTTACTACTATTATCATTTTGTTTTTATTCATTGACAGAAAAACTGTATACATTTGTCATATCTTGCTTTGAAATGCTGCTTTTTAATTCTGTTTGAGTTAGGTTTTTGTCATGGAAAATATGTCAAAGAAAAGTTTTCAATGAACTTTTTGTTGACAAACTTAACAGCGTTTGGCACAAGTGTCAGCGACAAGTTGAACTTATGAAGGACTGTTGCACAGTGAAGAAGGCAGAGCTGAAACGTCTGTGCTTGTCCTCCCCCTGTGCTGGTACATGCATGACAGAAAACCAACAGTAAAAAACTAAAGAAGACCTCATGTAGATTTGGCTGTGTGGGCCTGCTGTTGTCTTCCTGCTATGAGTATTATCCAGTTTCAAAATAAAGGCTGAGGTGAAAGACACTGAGTATTTAATGCAGTCAGACCTCAAAAAGACAAATGAAAGAAAAAACTGCTTTGTCCAGCTGGGTTTGGTCTCAGCACCAGTTTCAACTTTTTCCCCAAACTGTCCTGCAGCTCCTGTGATTTATGGTTATAATTATCGTGTTTCATTAGAGCCTCACAGTCTCTAATACGATGAATCGGGTTTTCCAGCCTCACCACTCATTCAGTTTTCTGCAGAGTGAAGGAGGATGAGCAAAAGAACAGACTTCTCTTTGTTTCCTCTGCACAGACTGAACCCCCCTCAGCTCACACCGAGCAACGCAAACGTCATGTCCTCAGCCACCATCACTCCTCCTGACACCCCCCCCAAATCCAATTAAACATGGGGGAGCAATCAGAGTGTAATTGGGAGACGAGTGGCGTCCTTCACTTTCTGCTGCACAGTCTTTTGATTTCCTGTTGAATGACACTGATGAGCAGACTGTGAAATGACCTTTATAACTTTTATCTTCTAACCTGACCTGAATTATTTTTATTTCTCTTACGTCATCTGTGCTGCTCTGTGACTGTCTAAGCCTTAATTAAGCAACTGAAATGTTTTCACTACATGTTATTATTGCAATGAAGTGTAGTGGTTATTAACTGGCAGCTCTGGTGACACTGAGTGAAAACAGATGAAAAAGAAGAAGAGAGGTAGGTGTGTGTGTGTGTGTGTGTGTGTGTGTGTGTGCGGACACTTCACTTGAAGAGCAGCTCACTGAATCAAACACTTCAGAAACACGGACTACAGCAGACTCTACTCAGCTCAGTAGAGTCAGACTGATGCTGGATCCCTCCTCTAACAGTGCCTTGCTCAAGGACATTACAACATTGAACCTGACTTCATCTGTGAAGGCTCTACATTCACAAGGATAAAGGGAGAGAGAGAAGGATGGAAAGAGGAAGGAAAAGAACAAGAGGGGGAAGAAACTGACATAAGATGAGATGGATGAGAAGAGAGGAGGAAAAAACAAAAGAAGAAGAAATGGGGGAGATAAAGAAGATGGAGAAAAAAGGAAAGAAGAGAAGAAACCAGGAAAGGACACGAAGGAGGAGAAATGAAAAAGAGAAAAGAATGAGGATGAGGAAAAATAGTCAAACAGGTGGATGAGAAAGAAGCAAAGAATGAGAAAGGGGGTGGGGGAGAAGACAAGGAGGAAGAAAAAGGGAAAGAAGGATAGGAGGAAGGGAGGTGGAAAAGAGAGACTGCACTGGAATCTTCGCCCCTCTGGCCAGCCAATCACAGCTCAGTATGCTTGCTCCCTCCTCCCCTTGCCAACAGTTCAGCCAATCAGCTGCTGCATCACACGGTCTAATTATAAGAGAGCTGCAGAGAGAGAGAGCGAGTGTTTCTCTGCAGCCTTGCTCGACCTGCTCCTTCTTCACCTACTCCTCCTCTTCTTCTTTTCTTTCATTACCTCCTCCTCTTCCTCACCTTCTGATATACATCTCCTCATCCTCATTTCACCTCCTTTTCTCCTCCTATCTTGTACTCTCTTCCCTTACCTCCTGCTGTCGTTCTCCTCCTCCCCTCTCTTCTTCTCCTCCTTTCTTGTCATGTTTTCAAAGTTGACTGGCAGCTGTGTGTTTTTATCCATTTCATTGTTGGAGTATTTCTAACTGGTTGTGTTTGCCTCACTGCAGTGCTGAAATGTTTTAACTCTGGTCCAACCACGAGAAGCGCTTTATAGCTTTGTTGTGAGAAGTGCTGTATAAATAAAGTTCTTTTTAATATGATGTTATTTCAGTAACTTGAACATTGAAATGCACCATTTGTGTGTTTACAAGCAGTAGTCCTGTTTCAATGCTAGGTCAAACTGTGACGCCTTCAGGTGCAGCTGATTTCTGCAGATTTTTTTATTTTCTCTTCCTGCGACGGAGCCCGTCTCCTCTCCGCCTGTCACCATGGCAACTGCATCAGCACCCTGACTTCAAAAAGGAGGCTCCGAAAGAGAAAGCGAGGACAGCAAGAAAGCAGAGAGAGGCAGGAACGAGAGAGGAATAAGAAAGAGAGGAGATGGAAGGAGAATGAGTCGTGAATGTAAAAAGATGGAAGAAGGTTGAAGGAAGCAGCAGCCAGTTTCGACAGAGAGGTGGAGGAAGAAAAACTAAAGAAGCAGAGAGAGAAAGAGCAGTGTGCAGATAAAAAGAGAGGAAGAGAAGCATCCATGGTCAGAGCTGATGGTGATTCAGTTCAAGCAGCTTTAGAACGGATCCTGAAGGAACATAATGAAACGTCCACATACTGCAAACCAGTAGCTTTAAGTAAAGGTTTTGAAAACTTCCATCACTGCTTAGATGTAAATGACAGATCACGAGGGCACGTCATTTTTCCAGTTGTGCATCTCTGCGTGGGCCAAGCCAGCAGGAAGTGTCAGGCGCTCAGAGTGTGATACCTGGGAGGTGCAGCCTCAGAGAAAACAGGACGCCATCATTATCGTCATCAAAGATGAGCTGTCAAACAATCGGAGTGCTGACAGCAGGGAGGTCTGCAACATGCTCAGCCTGTCACATAGTCAGAGGCTGAATCACGACCACTGAGTCTGACACAACAAACAGCTGCTCGTCTGGTGGTTTTCAGGCTTTAGGGTTTGTTGGTTTGTCAGAACCACGAGGCGAAGGCAAGCCTCAGAACCCATGGCCACTTTTAAGGCTCTTTCTGAATCAGACAGGTCTGTAAATAAAGTCTGGTAAGTGTCTGACCAGATGAACGTCATCCTGTGAGGGATTTCAAAGAAGAAAGAACTAAAGAACTACTACTTTTAAATATCTGCACTGATCTTACAGTAAGACTTCAGAATGAAAAAGAAGTCCTCGTGCATTTATCTGCAGCTACTGTTGCTCAGTAAAGTCAGTGAACACATTTAACATGAGCAACAATTCAACACACACAGCCTGACTTTGACCACAACTGTTTTCAAGCAGCCAGTCGCAGACTTCAGTGGGGATGGTTGACATTTTAGCTAATCGTATTAAAGTTCAGTGTACCCAGCCGCAACAGCAGTGCTGACTTCCTTGTGCATGAGTTGCACAGTTCTATTCTTATATCTGTGTTCTCCATTTCCAAACACACTGATGGAGCTCTGACCTTCAGTAAAATACCTGACTGCCCCTGACGTCAGCGCTCAGAGTCCCTCCTCTTTGCTCTGAGCTGTGCAGACACTGTACCCAGACTCACCGGCAGGCTAGACGGTCTCTCCTGTTGGCTCAGACGCATCTCCTCGTGGTTTGGTTTCCCAGGAGTCATAGCGGCAGACTGTCCACGGCCTCCGTACGCCTCCTGTGGCACCTCCTGCATTCAAACAGACAAAGACATAAAATACTCAGAGCTCACAACTATCAGATCTTTTTTATATATTCTCATTGGACCACATCTTACATCAATGTCCGTTCAGTGGGTGTTCTGGAGCTTTCAACCATATCACAATATCCTTATCAACAAATACATGTTGAGTTGCAGAGGTGCTTAACGTCATGGAAAGTTTAGAAATACACATTTGGAACCTAACGCAAACTACATCTGTGTGATAACATCACAAGCTCTGGAGGAGCAACTAAATGGTCCTTGTTTTAGCTTTTATTGTGAGTAGTTTCTGATCAGCAGGCCCAGACGGAATCTGTGGCCACAGAATTCCGACGACACCTCTGCAGATTTTTCGCAGATTCTGAAAAGAACGTATAAATGGAAAAGTTCCAACAAATGTTCGCACTTTGAGTGTCTTGAAATGTCAGTCAAATAAAAAATTCAGAATTTTAAATTCCTATGAAGTGATTTCTTTCACCTTGTTCAAGATTATCTTGGTTACTTTAATGCATTTTGTTTTTTCTTTTGCTAAGAAAATAATCATTAGCTAAATGAATTTTCTTTTCAAGCAAAACAAAAAAAAAAACAAAACAAAACACTGCAGTACTCCACAGATTTCGATCCTGAATAACTGCAGAAAACTGCCGCTTGGCCCGCTGATCAGTAGTGGAGACACAGAACCTCCATCAGGAGCAGCTTCTCTCCGACGTCTCAGAGTTAATTAAAGCTGTCTGATTGGAAGCTGCTCAGGGGAAATCCTGCTTTGTGCTACTGTGTCTGGACTTTCTTCTATGTTCCTGTTTTTCAGGACCTCAGACACACAACCTGATAATTTCACCTGTGTACTGATTATATTAGACTGAGCCACTGTGTTTTCAGCAGCTCAAGTTGCAGTGCTTGTCTGTCTGCAGTGAACTGACTGTGAGAGGATGGAGAGGTTTAAAGCTGCTTGGTGGTCTCAGACAGGAAACAGCCTCACAGAGGTCAACCAAAGGTCAGTTGCCCTCTTCAGTCCTTTGAACTCGGGACCTGACTCTGCTGAGAACCACAGCACCACCCAGCCACAGAAGATAAAGACCAGCATCACATCTGTAGTTCTGCTAACTCATCACTTGCTCTGATTCTTTCACAGTAAAAGCCTACATGTACTTCAGGGGGCAGCTTCCTTTTCCTGGCTTTTATTGTGAAATGTGCAGGAAGTATTGGGTTTAATTCATAGCACAGTAAAGTGGATTAAAAGAACAGAGACACTGAGTGAGAGCACTGTTTCTGCGGTTTTGTCATGCCAGTTGTACCTGCTGCGGCAGTGGGTGGGGCTGCATGTACGGCGGCTGGCTGGGGGCAGCGGGCTGCTGCTGTGCTGGGCTGAAGTATGCCGGCTGACCCGGCTGACAGTAGCCACCCATGTTCTGCTGCTGCTGAGCGTACTGAGAGCCCATCTGAGGAGACAGAAACCAAAACCATCAGTCCCTGATGACTGTAACATCACAGAGCTGCAAACCCAGACCAGCTGCTCTGACTGGGTCTGGAGAGTCCACAGACACACATGTGGTGCCAGTATCAGTGGCATTTCTCAAAGTGGCTATTTTATTGCATGGTACTTCTTTTTTGCCATTTTCCCAACTTCTGTCCCATCAAGGTGAATATTTTTTACAGACTAGTCTAAAGACAGTCCACAGACGTGCACTGACGGATGGGACCACATGTGAGCTAAGCAGAGCACATCCACACCGAGCACTGCTTTACGTCAGTGATGAGTAATGTGCACTGTGCCAAGTACATAAACAACCAAATCAAAGAAGAAGGTAATGCACAGTCTGTCCTGACTTACTGATAACTTCCTGCTCTGACTCTTCCTTTAAGGTTTATAATCAGCCTATATAAACATGGAACAAATGGCTGATAGGTTTTAATGTAGCTGTGAGCAGATCCAAGTACTTTTTACTAGTACAGTTTAAAGTATTTGTAACTTCTCCTATGAAGCCATACAGTGTTTTACTGTTTTATCCTTCATTATCTTTTTAACCTGTATTCAGTCTGTTTCTACAGAACTGAAAACTATGTGTTCATAAACAGCTGTAGTCTGGACATGTTAATACTGATGATAAACACTAAACGAGGGATTAAAGTGTCACAGGCCTGCTATTCCTTGTGCACACAAGGTGATAACAGGTGATAACGTCTGCCTTGACAGTCAAAACATAATGAGGTGCATGAGTAAAGGGGCTTCTGTAAATATTAATTAGAAGAAGTTTCACTAATCTTTATTCAAACTCTAAGAACAACAAGCAAACCGGTTCCAGAAGCTCTAGAGCCCTGGCAGCGCAGCCTGACTCTTCCAGCAGCACTGATCTGACCCTGATACAAACCGCAACCCGTGTCTCCCTCTCCTCATCATCCTTGCTCTAAAAGCACACACTCCCCTATGGAATAAAAACAGACACAACGTGCAATAAGACGCAACCTCGCTGTAATCTGTGAGAAGTGGAGGAGAGGAGGATTAAGTGCCTTGCTCAAGAGCAGCTCCTGCATGCCCTGAGAGCCTCAGCAATGCGGGCGTAACACCAGTGTGGTGATGTAAGCAGGTGTCAGCAGCCAGAGACTGAGTGTGGTAACATCGACGGAAAGAACAACCCGGGCCCCAGTGGATTAACAGGGAGAACGGGATGATTTTCTTTTTCATCACTTGCAACTGAACACTTTTGGTTTGGACCGGTGCTTGCACAGTCTGAAGGCACTGGACTTGTCTGAACATTTGGACTCAGCCACAGTTGTTCTGAGCGTCAGTTCATTTTCCAAACGTTTGGTCTTGGTGTCTGAGGATGGTCACAACCAGTGCTCTGTTGCGGCTGCAAATACATTAAGGAAACTAAGCCACGACTAGCTCAGTGTCACAGGACGCGTCAGTTCATTTTCCAAACGTTTGGTGTTGGTGTGATCACAGGAAGTAGAGGAAACACTTTTCATGTGTTTGGGCAACTCTGCTCTAGTAAACTGCATCTTAAGGTCAGTGGAACCTCTGCCTCAGACTAAGTCAGTCTGATCCACCAGTCCTGCAGTAAACCCTCCTTCATGAAGGTGATGAAGTTCAGTCTGTTTCACAGAGGCGCTGCTTCACCTGTGTGATCACTGAGGAGGCTGCAAGCTGTGCTGCTGTTCACCTGCACTGTGCTACACAAAAAGCTGTTTCAGTTGGTTTGTCCTGCCCATTTGTCCAAAATGGTCACAGCATTAAATCAACACCTGATGCTGTTTATTTACACACAGAGAAATGTAACTTACATTTTAATTTACAGTATTTCACCTCAGTGGAGACTAATCTCTCTCTGCTGGTTGAACTGGTATTTTTACTGTACATTTATGCACCTCAGCCACTTGATAGAGGCTCATAACTATAAAACCTTGTGTTGTTGTTACTGCACAAAGTAAGAAATATTTTGCTCTTTTCTTTTCAGTTAGTTTGAATTATGTGGGACCTTTAAAGAGCTTAAACAGATAACTAGATGACTGTAAAGGAATAAAACAGTTACAGAGTTAAAAAACTGTTTTGAAGCAGTCGGACAGTGGGCTGTGGACAGGAAACCTCCTGAACCAGAATCAATCTAAGCAGCACAGAGAGGGAAGCTGACTGGTTCACATCCAATTTCATCTGGAATCAGTGAGTTAATAAAGGAAGAGTCCCGGGGCCACCTGGGACCTCGCTCAGATAAATGTCATTACACTTCCTCTCTGCTTCTCTGGCTGTCTTCATCTGAGCACAAACAACAACTGTGACAGCAGTACCCTCGGGCTGAACAAAAAATATACATCTGTCAACCTGGAATGATGTAACAGCGTCACTGTTACTCTGCGATGACAGTGTTTCTCTGGAGGAATCTATGAGGCAGCATCAGAGGAAAAGCTCTGGGGGAGAAACTGTGATCTGAGACATCTACAACCTGACAACAGCAGAGCCAGGAGATCATGTGTGGGAAACCACCTGCTCAGGGTTCACCTGAAATCAACACAAAGCAGGTTGTAACACTCAGGATTTCCTCAAGCTTTTAAACAGATGTTTCTTTTTTACGGTACTTTGACTAGAAGGTTGAAAGAAAAGAGAAACAAGAAAAGAGACTTTAAATGGTTGCAACCGAGCCCCACCACATGGCAACAGTCCCTTTATCATGTCTAATTTTTTAAAATGCTATACCCCACAAATCTAAAACTGAATGCCAAATCAAGGCAGATCTGGAGCAAGTGAAGTGAGCAGTATATTCACTTTACTTCATGTTTCTATGCCAGAGAAAAGGCATTTCTCTGGGTTTAGCATCCAGGGAGCAGTGGAGACTACAGGTGGGTGACACAGGTATAATCCTCAGTTAAGTGGGTAAAAGAACCAGAGAGGTGTGTCAGCGTTTCTTTAATCAAGCAGTTAGAGCACTAATAAATACGGCTACTTCTTCAAGGGCCATAAACCTTTTTGTAAGATGACGAGACAAGCAGAGATATTAAAAGGATGGACATACACAGAGCTTCATATCAGCTTGTGTGGCTGCGTAGTGTGTAGTGATATTAGGGCTGCAACTAATGTCTGTTCATTTCATTATGGAGTCGACTACCAGTTATTTTCTCCATTAACTGTATGGTCTATGAAATGTTAATAAGATCTGAATTTTCCTGCACAGTGATGTTTGTAGTTTGTTTACTCTGTCTCACCCAAAAGCCTCAGACAGACAAAGAAAAACAGAAGCTGTCACATCTAAGAAGCTGGAACCAGATCATGTTTGACATTTTTTACCTGTAAAACAATCAATTATCAGAATAGTTGCCGACTAATTTTCTGTCAATTGATTAATCGCTGCAGCTGTGGCTGATATTACAAATAGCATCTGTACCAGTGAACATGTTGCAGCAAATTTTTTATATCCTGCCTTTCTACGTTAATCCGACTCTTATGTTTACCATGTGTTGATTTATATTTACAGTGTCGTCTTTTGAGACTAACTCGAGTGTCCACCTGTGACCGCTGAACTTTGGCAACATCATGACCGTGTGGTACAAACAGATGAACAGAGAGAAGCGACTGTGCTGCACCACTGGTTTGATAGGTTTCTACAGATGTTTTACTTTGAATTCCCTCTACCTTGACAATTTGACACCACTGAAACTTTCTTTACTCTGGTTTTAAACTGCCTGTGTTCTGTTTCCAGCTGCTACAGAAAAGCAGCTTTCTGTCCTGGGATGAGTCGTACCAGAGCACGAGCCATCAGTAAACATGAAAAACCTGGAGCAGGCTGACTGCTCTGAGCAGCAGCTTCAGACCAGCAGTCTGGGATCTAAAAATAGCCAGAGCTCGGTCTGCACCGAGAATAGCCCAGCCCAGCCCGGCCCAGCCTGGCCCACTCTGCAGCAGCCATGTGGTCTGCCAGCACCAATCGCTGTGTCGTCCTCTGAGCGGTGATGCTGCAGATGAATCAGCTCCATGAAGAGACAACCAGCTCAAACTCATCCCAGCTTCAGCTTTTCAGCAATGAAAACACAAACTGCCACACAACAACTTCCAAACGGCAGCTGTAATGAGAGAGGACACTATAGTACAACTCAACAATAAGCGTCCGCCTTTGACTGCTGGCTCATCAGTATTCCTTGACACACGTTCAGTTGTATTTGTATGCAGAAGGGGAGCAGAGACCTGCACAGGCCTGAAACTGAGACTTGAAACCTGCTCATAACTCTGAAAGACCCAAGTCTGACCTGAGAACTGAAGCTATGACTGGAAAAACAATTCCTGTAACACTATAATGATTACGGATGGTAGAGAAAGTGCAAAGATTACAGAGCATCAAGAGATTAAAACCCCTAACTTAGAAAGACATACGAGTTCAGAAACACTTTGTTTTTACATTTTACTGTTTGAAATTCATCTGTTTTCTGTTATGCTGGGCAGAGCGTCTCCTACCTGTTGCTGAGGGTACTGCATCCCTCCCATCCCCATCTGCCCTCTGCCAGAGGGTATCTAGGGGGGGGGGGGGAGCCGTAGGACTGGCTGGGGTAGGGCGCCCCCTGCTGCTGCTGGGAGTATGGGTTGTTGCTCATACCGTAAAGCTGAGAGCGCTTCATCGCCATTGGGTCCATGGGCGGCACCTACAAGAGAAAGGACTGGATGGTGAGTGGCGTTGTCAGTTTTCAGCTGTCTGTGTTTTAAAAAACCAAGTTGGAAGGTCACTGTTTCTTTAATAAGAACGACAGAGGTAAATACTATGACCACCTTCCATCAACTTGGGATGGAAGTTCTGTCCTCAGACAGACGCGGACACATTCTATTCATATGGCAATCGAGGGTATGTGTACGTAGACCAAGTGGCAACCTCCGAGGCTGAAAAGTGAAGCCAGTGCCGCAGTGACAAAACCTGCAGTTCCTCAAATGGCCACTAGAGACTGGCTCCAAAAGGGGGTCAGTCCCCATAGACTCCCCTGTCAAAATGCCCAGTTTTACAGTTGAATACACATGTTTACAGCTTGTTACAAAAAAACAGTTTTGGGCTCTATAGCTAATTTCCATTTCATGACAAATGTACGGGTTGATTTTTTTTAATTTTTTTTTTTTATAACTCACCAGTTTAGATTATATTGGGACTAAAAGTTACACATAATTAAAGATGTGGCCACTTTGAGTGACAGGCGGGAGGGTCCCGCTACAGGTGGCTGGCCGCTAGCTGTCTGGAGAGCTCCACTCACACTCCACCTCTTTGCCCATTTTTAGATTAGACCTAGCAGGCGGACTGAAGCGTTGCCAATATGGCGACAACCAGCCTTGAGCTTCAAAACTGCTCATCAGAAAACTGTTGGGTGACATCACAGTGGGTTTGTCCAGTTTTTATACACAGTCAGTGACGTGGACACATTCCACACATGCATTAGAAAACATGATGGAAACATCCAACCAGAAAGAAGAAGAAGAACAAGATTGTTGTTTTTGGATGAACAACATAAAACAGTCAAAAAATAAAACATTGCGTGTAAGCGCTTAACATGAACTGGGAATAAACAGTATGCACATATGGTGCACAAAACAAGCATCCAGTTTACTTCACAGGCAAGTTTTGGGCTGCACAAGGGACGTAAACAGACGGAGGAATGTATGTCCCTGATGAAGCAGAAAGCCTTTGTTCTAGAACATGATCACAATCTACGTGGTTGTTTTAACATCTCCTCCTCTGCACATATGGCCTGTTGTCATGTAACTAATCTGACTGAAACATGAGAAATGAGCACTGAGACCTGTGATGTGGACATTGCCTGAGAGGCAACAGAGTCTAACAGAGAATGAGAATAAAAGTCTTGCAAAGCTTAAAAATCCAGGAATTTACCAAACTAGAAACCAGAGCCAAACCGGATCCAGATATTGGATCCCTAGGTCACATGATGCTGCTGACTGAACTGACAAGAGACAATGATGTAGTTTCATATTAGTGAGCGTTTGCCCATCATGTGACTTATGGTGCCCAGCTCTCCAGCACTCAGAGGCCAGTAAACACATCACAGACTAATGTATCATCAAGTGCTTCCAAAAGAGTCAGATGGATCTCAGGGAGTGGGGGGTGGGACATGAGCCATGCAAAAGCCTGGGAGGTCACTTTCAACAGGAGTCAACAGTCACGCCTGGGTACACTTTAATATTCACACACACTGTATTTGACACACTGACATAATAGTAGGTGAGAGAAGTGACTCAGTGAGAACAGATGTTTCACTCCTGCTCAGTTGACTGCAGCTAAAAATAGAAACCATTTGCGGATTTCTCACACACACACACACACACACACACACACACACACACACACAGACATTTGATCCTGGTCTTTCATCTGTGCTTTGGATGACGTTTTCCCATCGGTCGGCTGAGGACAGGAAATAAACACAGAAGTGAGTGGAGCTGGAACTCTGCCAAGTCCACACAGCTGGTTGTAGGTAGAGAGGATGGAAAAGACCTGACCAACAACCCAGGTGTAACCAGAGGGAAGGGAGACCCAGGTGTGAGCACCACACCTGACAACATGACCCTCAGATCAGTCGTCCAACTCTACAACCAGCTGTGATGGCTGATGCAAGACGATTCAAGCAAAATTAACGTAGTAGAACAGTGAGAACAGCTTGAGATATTGCGGCAGAGCATCCTTCACATTTCATCAAGCAGTGAAAGAGAACATAAAATAGCAATACGAAAACGTACTGTATACCAGGACTCTCAAACGTCTTTTACCCATGGTTACTCATGTTTTCTTTTACATTCATTCATATATCGTACCAAAACAAACCAAGCTGCTTTAGAAGCTGTTCATAAATGCTTTTCTTGGTCTTATATCGTAGTAAACTGAGTATTTTTAGGTTTTTGACTGTTGGTCAGACAAAACAAGCCACGTCATGAGGTCACATGGTGCAATACCATGGTGGCCAAGTTTAGTTTCCCTTTTTTAAGATATTTTACAACCCAAACTAATAATCAATTATTTATGTTAACCGGTATGTCAGAGCTGCAATGCTCAGCTGGTTTATGGATTAGTTGATCATCAGCTACTGTTTCAATAATGAATGAGTGTCAGTATAATTCCTGAACACAGCTGGCATTCTCAGGTTCCAGCTACTCAAGTCTGCTGCTTCCCTTTGTCATAAAGTTAAAATCTGTGGGTTTTGGACTTTTTTCCCAGAAAAAAAATGAAGATCACAAAAGTCACCTTGGGCTCTGTGAGGGTGTGAGTGGACGACTTTGTTATTTTTGACATTTTGTAAACCAAAAGATTCATCAGAAAAATTACTTACAGATTATGCAATAATCACCAGTTGAAACAAAAGGCATCCCACACTATTACATTGGGCTAACAGCACTGAAAAATCTCC